CCTCCCAAAATCGGCAAGAATAATGGTGCAATGGAGTCCAACACCACCAATTTCAAGCCGGAATAAAAAGAGTCTTCCGACTGACGGAATTTAGCGGGATTATTCGTTTGGACTAATTGTAATACCATTCCTTATTGTTAAGAATACCTTTACTTGAAGCTTCTGACGTAAATCTTCAACAAGGGAAAACACCGCAAAGACATCCATGCAATTTTTCGAGATTCTAATTCTCCGAAATACGTTTTCAGCGCTCTGTTACAAAAGAAATGAGCACAAAGTGAACTTTGATAAATTAACGAATAATCTAAATTTGTGGCGACCCACCATCCCTTGGTCTCTCGCGTCTACAAACCTATCGCTTTCATGGAATAGGTTGTGCATCAACTCGGGTGAAAATGAGTTCAAGGTATCAATATATAAGACTGTGTTATCGGCATTTGAACATGCTGTAGAAAGCGTTGCTGCATAGCACAACTAGTATGCAAACAATTTGTAGATTAATATCAAGACTAAATTACGATGAATCGATGACTGCATTAACATTCAACCCGTGTTTTCCCTGTAGTCGACTCTCCACTGATCTCTGTGATATCTCCGAGATGCAAACCCCCCGCCAATAAATCATTGATGCTTTTTGCGATCAAAGAAATTATTAGTAAAGATTGTGTGGTGTCATATTCTATTAAAACTTCACTCACCCGGAACATCCGATGGATAAATAATTTGTCTGACGTGTATTTAACTTGTCCAACAATTCAAGGCCTCGTTTCGGTTTGATCTTATTTAACTCGATAACCTGACGGCGCAATTTTTCGAAGGCCTATACTTTTGATAATAATTTATACGATTTTTTTTTATTCGATAATTAAAAGTTGAAGAGCACTCACTTCCATCGAAATTTTTTGTTTTTTACAATACTCTTCTACATTCACTTCGCCAAATAAAATTTTTGCTTCTTTTTAATGATACATAACGAAGTTCATTATCCTTATTGTTTGTGTCTAACTTTCATGTTCTGGAATTACCTTCCGGAATCCTTGCTTCAGTCATCGTCTACAATAATGTCGTTGCGACAGGAAATCAACTCGAGTACGTAATACGCGTTTATGCAATTGTAGTCACGTTATGATCACGAGAGCATAAGTAGCACGGGTCCTGCATGATCTTTACGCAATGGGTCGTTTGGTTGACTCTTCTTTGAACCTCGTTCGGCTATGGCGTTCCACTTACGAGTTAACTGTTGGTGAGATATCAAGATATAGGATTCGTTTTGATGGTTCAAAACATCCTTCAAGTGCGGCTTGGCCGCCCGTGAATCTAGTGCTCAAAATCACCAATACGTCTCCGATACTACTTCGAGGTGCCTTTTTGAGTGGACCTTACAACATCTCTGCCTCGTGCGTTGAAACTAGCCAGCACGGAATAAATCCGCTATCAAATATCGTCGAACCACAAGCGAAAGGATGCATAAAGTGTGGAGAATTTTGGAAGATAACACTGGAAATACCTTCAAACGGTATTGGCGATTGGACTATCGATATCCTAAGTGAAGTAATATTTACTTCCAACAAGGTCAAATATGATATAGG